TCCAAACCAAACCAACCATCCAAACCAAATCAATCATCCAAACCAAACCAACCATCCAAACCAAACCAACCCTCCAAACCAGACCAACCATCCCAACCAAAACAATCCTCCAACCAATCATCCAAACCAAACCAACCATCCCAACCAAAAACAACTCAAATCCACCATCCAAACCAAACCAATCATCCAAACCAAACCAACCGTCCAAACCAAACCAACCGTCCAAACCAAACCAACCGTCCAAATCAAACCAACCGTCCAAATCAGACCAACCATCCCAACCAAAACAATCCTCCAAACCAATCATCCAAACCAAACCAACCATCCAAACCAAACCAACCGTCCAAACCAGACCAACCATCCCAACCAAAACAATCCTCCAACCAATCATCCAAACCAAACCAACCATCCCAACCAAAAACAACTCAAATCCACCATCCAAACCAAACCAATCATCCAAACCAAACCAACCGTCCAAACCAAACCAACCGTCCAAACCAAACCAACCATCCAAACCAAACCAACCATCCAAACCATCCCAACCATCCAAACCAAACCAACCATCCCAACAAAAAACAACTCAAATCCACCATCCAAACCAATCATCCAAACCAAACCAACCGTCCAAACCAGACCAACCATCCCAACCAAAACAATCCTCCAAACCAATCATCCAAACCAAACCAATCATCCAAACCAAACCAAACCAACCATCCAAACCAGACCAACCATCCCAACTAAATCAATCCTCCAAACCAATCATCCAAACCAAACCAGTCTTCCAAACCAAAACAACCATCTGCTGAAAACAAGAACAGAAGGTTCCAGTGTGCTAAAGATAATCTGTTTAAGGTGAAGCACTGTGTGAACATCTGTATGAGAACATCAACTTGTCTGAGTTCCCTTCATGAGGAGAACATCTCCAGATGAGGTACCTTCATGATGAGCTGCTTCTCTGGGATGGATGAACACTGCTGGTAGTCTCTGTGGCCAGGCAGCTTCTCTACGAACAGGCTGAACACAGGAAGCACCAGAACATGCAGTAAATCTGGGCTGTAATGGTTATGAACAAGCCTTCTGAGACGGCCTCGTGCGACTCACGTGATGAGTTTGGTGTAGAGGACATAGGCGTTCTCCAGGCTACCCTCCTCCAGGTAAACCGCCGCCATGCGCTCCATCTCCACGCCGGAACGGAAGTAGCGCCTGGGAGCGATGTCCTCATTGATCTCCACGCAGCATCCCATTTTTGCCAGAGCTCGGACGCGCTCCGCCGCCGTCAGAGACACGTCGGTGTAGTCCGGCTCTGCTGCCAGCTTCTTCTTTGCCACACAAACAGAATCAAAACTCAGGTTTCAACAACAAAACATGACAACAAAGAGTCTCCAAAGAGCTCTGCTAAAAATCAGAAACAGGAAGAGACGTAAACAGAAGCTACGCTCTGCTTTCAGGCAGGAATCTCAGATTTCCCATCCTTACTAAGAGCCTGAATGCAGCGTTTGTTCCTCAGGTCATTTACATGAAGAAGAAGAGCTGCTGTCTGTCCAAACAGATGAAGAAGTCACACAGGAAGAACTCACCAGTAATTTTAAGCTGAAACCTTGTTCCATGCTGTGTATGTGTGTGTGTGTGTATCAGTGTGAGTGTGTCAGTGGTGGCCCCGCAGTCATCTCGTCCATCTGCCACCTCCCATGATGCTTCACTGCAGGGAGGCAAAAACAACAACATGTCAATGCAGAAAGGAAGATTCCTTTAGCTGAGCAGGATTCATCTTCATCATCATCATTATCATCATCATCATCAGCTTCTTCCTCCTCATTTTTATTGTCATCATCGTTTTTTTTTTTAAATAATCATCATCCTCCTAATCATCATCTTCATCATCATCATCCTTCAGCTGGCTCCATGGTTACCACAGCAACCCCGGGCTACAGCTGCAGTGAGTCAGCCACTTTAACAACAAGAGAAGAAGAGTAGAGCAGCAGAACCGAACTCTGTCATCGCCTGCTGCTGCTGCCGACAGACTTTAGCTTCTAAAGCAGGGAAACTCAAACCTTTTGGGTCTGAGGACCCCTTACAGGGGTGAAAAAATTCCAGGGACCCTCATAAACCCCATGCTGTTTTAAAACATAATTTATTGTCATTTCAACCCCTAAATGCCATGGGGATATATGTTTTTATTTAGTTTATTATGTTTGTTTTATTAGTTAATTGTTCTTCATGCATTTTTAAAAATAAAAACCAAATTAACAAGTTAGTGAAATTTTTTGAGGACCCCTGGAGGTCCTGAGACCCCAGTTTGAGAACACCTGTTCTAAAGCATCAGGACTGAAGAGGATGAAGAAGAGGAGGAGGAGGAGCCACAGATGAAGATCCTGCAAACACCTGAGTCACGTGTTCATCGAGCCTTCTCTGACACCTTCTGTAGGGTTTTTCAGAATAAAAGTCACATCTATCACCTTATTTATGTTTTTGTTCTTTTAGATCTGATTCAAAGTTTCTATTTCACATTAAAATCACCCTGAAAATAATAGAAATATTTTTTAAATTAACAAAAATTCCACATGAAAGCTTTAAACTACTGTCCTGTGATTTGCTGCAAAGCTCCACCCACACCACCTTCACACCCTCAGGTGTGACAGATTCCACGCACCTGCTCGGATTACAGAACGTGGTCTGACTGGTCTGAGCTGGATCTGCTCCAGTTGGGTTTCCACTGACCCAGATTTAAACAGGAAGTTCATCAGGAGAACTTAAACTTCACTTTCCTCTGATTGTTAGAAAACGTTTTATTTAAAAAAAAAAAAAAGCTTTTATTTTGACACTTCCTGCTTTGGTCGCTGATCTAATGTGATGAACAAACACACACCATCATCACAAAAACAACAACAAAACCAGCAGCAGCTAACGAGGCGTTCAGGGTCACAGGAATTTTCAGTGTTTTCTGTTCCTGGAAACATCCATCATTTCTACTGAATCTGTTTCAAAATCTGAAATAATCTGATTCAGAATTTTACAGACAACCAAGGACTTTGATAAATTACTAGCAAACAATTTTTATGATAAATCAGCTGCAGTTTGATCATCAGGAGCTGATTTATTGACTTAAATCAGCAGTTTTAGCGGTTTTTTTCTGATGAGGTCGCATTTTCTTTCAGAATAAAAGCTGCTTCTTCAGAATAAAGTGTCAGAAATAGCTATAAATCAGGTTGATTTGTTTCAGAGACCCCACCAGATGAAACTATTTTAAGGATCTGATAATTAAACACAGAAAGCACAGCTGTTTGTTTGGTCCCAAACATCTGGAACATCTGGGATCATCCAGCCCCGGGGGACCACCTGGAACCATCTAGAACCATCCCGTCTGACTGTGGGTCTCTACAGGATGAAGAACCGACCCGCGGAGGTTAAACATGAGAAAAAAAAGATTTTAACATAAAGACACCGGCAGCTGTCCCAGAAAAAAGCCGAACTGCTCCTTTACTGGGATTAAAGGGTTAATTTCGTGTGAAACCAGTAAAACCAGCTCGGAGAAACGAACGGAGCCAAATCAGACTGATTCAGTTCTACTGGACTTGGACCGCGGAGGTTCGGCAGAGGAAAAGTCCGGTTCCGGTACGGACGGGTTTACCTGTTGATGCTGATGCTGCTCGTTCTTCAGTCCCGTCCGCATCCCGTATCCGCGCGGTGTACCAGCCCCGGTACCAGCCCGCAGGTGGGTGGTGAGCCTAGATCCGGTCCCGGTGGGGGACGTGGAGCCGGTCCAGTGAGCCTCGGGTCAAGCAGCTGCAAAAGAACCAGGCGGAACCGATCTGAGAGGTTCGGATGGCGCCTCTACTTACAGCTGATGGTGGTTACAAAGATCGTCTCTGAACGCAGATGGGCCGCCACCTTCCGGTGTAGCACTGCGCATGCGCTGCTTCCCTACATAAATACGGTAAGATGTGTCACTCCGGCAGATCTTCAGAGATTTGATTTATTACATTTTTTCTTTTAGTTTATCTGAATCAAAACATATTTATATTATTATTATTATTATTATTATTATTATTATTATTTTCCCTGAGAAGTTACTGTTTGTGTTTTTGTACATTTTCTGTCTCAATAAATAAAAAAAGGTTAGCGTTTCCTAAAACGTTGATGTTTTTGTTCTTTTCAGAATAAAGTTCTGTCAGAAACCTGAACAGAGTAGCTCAGGTGAGTCTGCAGGTGTGTCTCTCACTGCCGGTCACGTAGGTTTCTGACCGTACCCAATAGAGACCGAAGATTTAAACAAACACGTGTCAAATAATTGTGTTTGCCGTTTGTTATTGTTTGTCTGTTTGGAGAGCTGTCAAAAGTATCAATCAGAATGGGGGGAAAAAAGCTCAAGTGAAAGAGAAATGAAATACTAGAAAGTAAAGCGTTATTACTCCAAATTTTCTACTTGAGTAACAAAGTATTTGTACTTACTTAACACCTCTGAAGGATCGTGTTCCATGTTACCTGTCCACACCAGCCCCCAGCTGTTTTTGACAACAGGAAGCTGGACCAATGACATTCCAAAATAAAAGCTTCTGTTACTATAAAGAAACGATCTATGCAGAAAGCTTGCTGCCTAAAAGGTATCGTGCTTTTATTTTGACAAGCGTTACCGGAAGTACTCTTTACTACTGACTTGTCCAGGTGCGTCGGTTCCGTGATGGGGCTGGTTTACTCGGAGGTAAGAAGTTATTCCTTTTTTTTTTTTTTTTTTTTTTTTTTTCCCC